TCGGTGTTTCAGATGCCGAGAGGGAGATTGTACTACAAACGCTGGATGCTGTTGTCGTCGGACCAGTTGTAGTTGAGGTAATTGGTTCTGCAAACAAACATCCTCAATGTCACCACAGGAAATAACTGTACGAATATCATCATTCAGTCTGGGAACCTTTTGGACATTTCAATGAAATAATAAAAAGTGAAGGTACAATTCAACCTGTTGCTGGCGATGTCAATATCGATCACATCAAGATGCTATATCCACTGACATTAACAAGAATATGAACTTTTGTAGTGAGCACTAAATAATACAGTAATATTTTCCTACCTATTTCAGATCATCCAAGAATCTGTATGGAAACGTCGCTGAATGCCGTAATGGATTTTGTATCCAAAAAGGTGTATATTTTCTTACCATTTCAGACTGACTGAGTTTGGTTTTACGCCGCTTTTAGCAATATTCCAGCAACATCACGGCTGGGGACAGCAGAAATTGGCTTCACACATTGTACCCATGTGGGGATTCGAACCCGGGTCTTCGGCGTGACGAGCCAACACTTTAACCATTAGGCTACCCTACCGCCCCACCATTTCAGATGCTAATGAAGACATGAAAGCGAGAATGCTAGTATTTACCTGAGCTTACAGCTGGCACTGAAACCAAAATAAACGAAAACATGTATACATATATGAAAAATAATTGATTGATCACGAATGTGTAGAGTCTTCCTTGTTTCGATAAACGTTAGTTTGTATATAATCCAAGCACGAATGACACACTTTTGGTGTCACCTTTTCCTTATAATTTGTTTATTTATCAGATATGTAATACCGTACTCAACAACAGTTCCGCTGTGTCGAGTCGACCTGTAGATAACTGTGTCTGGTCATCGATCCACGTAACTGGGACACGATAACATTCATCAGTTTCATTCATCCGACCTGGGCATATTGAGTAGAACATGCTGGTGTGTATCAGAACAGATCGATTTGGTGATTCACTTTTAGCACGTCACACACAGTGCGAATATACAAGAATAGACTAGTGTTCGTGTGTAAATATTCACCTCTTTGGTGAAGCCTATGAGCTTAAGTATGGTGATCACGGACCCAGGATGATAATCAGTGCGAATTTGGGATTCGAACCCACAATAAGCGGATCTCGGTACAATAAGAGATGCACGGGGATTTGAGACGACATTTGGGAATGTGGTTCACATTTGTGATTGAGAGAGAATGGTTCAGCGACGCATTTAGCAATATCACAGCGGTGACAGTCGAGATGGGATTCACACATTACACCCAATCTGAGGAATCGAACCCGGGTCTTCAGCGTGACGAACATACGCTTTAACAACCAGGGCTTGGATTTTCGAAGCTCTCTTAGCGCTACGATAGTCATAAGTGCCATACATTAACATTAAATTACGACTGTCTTAGCGCTAAGAGAGCTTCGAAAATCTAGGCCAAGGTCACCAGTCTGCCATTTTACAATAAAGAAAAGGTCTGTACATATATGTAAACATAAACAGAAACAAATACAGGCCATACAGCGGAGAATCTGGTACATACATATGTAGATACTAGCATATATGGAGAAAGATGGAGGTCAGGGGACCGCCTAACTGTACGTTAACCTTGTTATCGTGCAATACACGTCTCTGTGTTATACTATAGTGAGGAATGTCTACCTTCGTCCATTTTCCGTTCAACTGACATTACTAGGACGTTGTTGACAATAGCAACGTCTCCCACAATACAACCATGACATTTTGTATATCGTGTGTGACAGTGGGATACTTACATATAGCAGAGACTAAAACCACTCCACAAATAGTCGATAGCGCCATCCTCGGGTGCATGTTGTAGACTGTAAATGCGCAGTAGCGAGTCACGGATTGAAACAAAACACACGGTATTCTATATCCGGGTAACACTACATCATTCGGGCGAAATGTACCTGAGCTGTCTATATAGGGCGTCTCTTTATTCAGTGTTGTGTTACGGTTGGGCGCGTCTCTGGTATTTACCTTCAACTGAATGGCCCTCAGTGACGACACGAAACGTCAGTGGAGCAATGCACAATCGATGACTAACCAGATCGATTGGACTGGGTATTTCCGCAGCCCTACCTATGAAAACATTGTTGAAATCGGAGAACCTAAACGACATTCATTTTGCCCGTGGAGACCCTCGCTGTAAGCTAATGGTATCGCTTAGTGACACTCACGTTGCCTCTTATTCAAAGGCTATATATATATATAAACATAGATATTCATCCTATATAGGTCAGAGTGAACTGCTTGATGTTGGTGGCAGATTGCCAACTTGCACTGACTGACACGTGACATCTGTGTGCTTGTATATGTGATGATGAGGTGGTATTAACGAACAAAGATAACGAGGTAACTTGTATGACTGTAGGATTAGAATTACATTGTAGAATTTTCGATATCGATTCGGTAAGATCCTCAGAGGTTGATGGTTACCATGTAACATTAGTAAACTGTCCATTTGGCTTGAAATTATTCTTATCCGCCGTATTGAATATTTCAAATATATTCAATTATTGATACATGCCCCAAAAGAGGGAAAACTTAGCATCTGGTTCATCAATCAATGTTACATTACGCTCTTTATTTCTACTGAACATCGGGGCGGTGGGGTAGCCTTATGGTTAAAGCGTTCGCTCGTCACGCTGAAGACCCGGGTTCGATTCCCCACATTTGTGCAGTGTGTGAAGCCTATTTCTGGTGTACAACCCGTGACGATCCGGGTTAGAATTGATCTTCAGTAACGCCAGTAGAGGCGATTAATGGGATCGGGTGGTCAGGGTCGCTGACTTGGTCGGCACATATAATCACGTCTCAGTTGCGCAGATCAATGTTCATGCTTTTGATAACTGGATTGTCTCAAGACTCGATTATTTACAGACCGCCGCCATATAGCTGAAATATTGGGGAGTGTAGAGTAAAACTAAACTCACTCATTCACCCTGGTGTCCAACGCCGTAATATTGATGGACCACACACCACCGGTTGTTATAAAGAGGAATCATTTCTCATACCAAACCAATGCAGCCATTAACTGTTTCTTTCCTGTCGAAAGCCATATATGTTCAATCAATATGTCGACGGACTGTAAATTATGTATTCGGGATAACGGAATCCAATGGATCGATTTTGTGAGTAACGATTCACGTTGTCGGGCTACGAGAACACGCAGTCTGCGGTGTCGGGTTACAAGAACACGCAGTCTGCGGTGTCGGGTTACGAGAACACGCAGTCTGCGGTGTCGGGTTACGATGTGACCGGTGTGAGGTGCGGTGTGACCGGGTCGCCACTCACAACCAGCAATGGTTATTTGGTATCATTCCTAATTTGGACATCCCAAGTGACATCCCGATGTCATCCTGCTGTGTTAAACGGACTACAATGAGTACAGAAAATGTGTGTTGATCAGCCTACTATAGTATAGAGGCTGGACAGACGAGCTCGGCAACTTGTATTGCTGCATTAGATGCATCGAGGATGGCTTGTCTACAAATGCTGTTGTCGCCGGACTAGTTGTAGCTGCCACAAACATTCTTAATGTTCTTGGTCTTAATAAAGTGCTATATACATTTAAGATACTATGCATGCACCTGCATTTGAGAATAAAGTAAGAACGAACCAGTTGCAGTCGGAGCAAGTGTTTATTTGGGTTTATGTCAACTTTAGGCAGAGTGCCTCAGTATCAGATTAATCTGCATAGTCAATACTCAAAACAATAAAAATAAAAAAATTAAAAATAAATGAATTTACTCTATGGACACCGAAACACAATATATAACAAATAACAACCGAATGTGTTTGCTTGTTGTCTTATGCCGCATTCACCAATTTTCCAGCCACATGACCGCGGTCTGCACGTAATCGACTCTGGATCAGCGTATATATTAGGGTACCGTTGTACAAAGCGACCTAAGCGCTAAGGTGACCGTAACTCCCACACCTTAACATAGACTTAAGTTACTCTTATCGCTGAAGTTGTTTCGTACAACGTCCCCCTGGTTACATTTTAGAGCACGTCATATTGAATTTTCGATACATGTATATCTATCTATCTAGTGTATTGACTCTGTGATATGTACTTCACTGTTTAACTGTATATCGTTGTTACATGGCTTGTACATTGTATCTGTGACAAGATCTGAACCTTCCCTGAATCGGTCATTGGTAACTTGCTTCACACATATTGAAAAACTGTCAGTTGTTCATGCTCGCATGCAAATCGTAGTCGATGGGCGGTCAGATTGACCGGCGCTTCTCCAAAAGGCCAGTGTCAGTTGTTTCTGATGTGTTGTTCAATTGCTGTTTATTAGCGCTTATTGTCAACAATATTAAAATTAATATATTTAATTAAAACTAGATTTTGTGATCCATACTCGATTATCCACATGCCACTGTCGTATAGTTGGGATATTTCTGACTGTAACGTTAAAAAACATATGTAGTCAAAAACATAAATTTAATAATTCATAAATATTGCTATTTGTACATTGCAAAGACATTACACGGTAACATATAAGACCATATTCCTATCACAAATCAGATCTTAGTAACGAGTAACAACAAGACCTTATTTCAATGAGACTGTCATCGACACAAACGACCGTTAATGAATATTTAATAATAATTAATAATGATAATGGCCATTTATTATGCGCTATAGTGCACACACTTGTGCGCTCAAAGCGCATACATTATTACCCCAGATACCCCAAGCTGCATGTGAGGTGCTGGAAGGTTGATAGTCACATGACCTATCCCACCGGGTACCCATTTTCTACTGGGTGAACAGAGGCAATTGTGAACAAACTCACTTGCCTAAGGTGAGACCACATGTATAACATGTGCTTCGTTGTGGGGCAGGACTGAAGTCCTAGAAACTCCCAGTCAAGCTGCCAAACACAGTCACCCATCTCCGTGCCCAACGTTGCTTAATTTCAACTGATTAGTGACCTAAGATCTTTGCACAACACCATGATCATTCTACAAGTATGTTGTTATCATTGCGTCTATATGCATCAGAATGCTGTAGGAAACAGTTATCGTAGGATTTCGTTTTCCCAGAACACATTTTGTCATAACGAAGGACTTCAACGATGCTGCTGTTTGATACTGATACATCTTGTAGAAGGAACTACATCTTTGTTGTGGGGAATGATCCATATCAGCATTTCCCACTGTTGAGGCAAAACAGACTATCGTATGACGGGGGAGGTTGACTATCACCAACTGCAGTGTATGGGGGTGGCAATTCTGTTTCACCTCCAGTTCCCGTAGAAGGCATCATCGCCTCGAGATTAGGAAGGGGGTCGGATGCTACTGGCATAATCACCCAGTGATTAGGATCGTAATCGGATGCTACTGGGTCTGAAGACCTCGTGGTGGCCATTACAGCACAGGCAGTATTTGATGACCGATGACGTCGTTTCTGGCGAATTATCCAAGCACTTAAACTGATGGAGAGTATGAGGAAGACCAGGATGGGTGTAGCTAGTACAGTGAAGATGGTTTCAAACTCTGCAATAGCATAATGTATACGTTTACTTTTTAACATAAACAATCAAAATGGAATTAGTAAGCAATAAAATATACAATATTGATGTAGTGTTGCGGTTAGGATACTTGAACCATCATATAATATAGTAAAACGACAAGATTACTTTTTCTCTAGAAATCTCTGCTTTAATAAACTCAATTGTAGGATTCCGAAATATATTTATGAATCCTTATCTAATATGTTGTATTCCAGGTGAACAGGGCAGCGTAGCATGCCGCAACAATCACTGAATGAAAACGATGTAATAAACATTAATTGCATGAATAGCAATAGGACATATGTGTTCTTACCATCTTGTGGGTTGTGTGGGTTTTGGGGTTTCAAGTCGACTATAGTACTATATTTGATCACAAACACACCATGGTTCTTGGAACCACTAGCACGGAATTCTATAAACACGTGTGGTCCTGAGCTCTCTACAGATGGTCTCTCGTCTCCGCACCACTTTGCCAGAGATGTGCTCGACGAGTCATAGCCTGCAAAATATCAAATTGAAGAGTGGTCAGACTCTGAGCAGTTGACGGCTTACATGATGCAAGGTTATGTTGTATCCATTACATCAGTATGCCTTCTTGGCCAGAGACAAATGTCGCAGTTCACAAGGTTCAAGTCCTGATTGGCCAAAGTCCTCGTCTTCAGAGCAAGGAGATCGGTAACTTTTTAAGCAGTTTTATATATGAGCTAACCTGACCATCCGTTGTTGTACCAACTTCAATGAAATATATTTACATAAAATACTCCACGATACACAGAGATACTCGTACGTGAGAAAGGTTAATCGTAGTCTACACATATTTACATAACATTAGTGAGGGAGTTTAGTTTTACGCCGATTTTAGCAATATTCCAACAATATCATGGCAGGTTACACCAGGCATGGGCTTCAGAGATTGTACCCATGTGGGGAATCGAACCCGGGTCTTCTGCGTGACGAGCGGACGCTTTAACCACTAGGCTACCCCACCGCCCCTATATAACTATATACATTCGCACCACAATATACTGATCATGTACTCTCTATGCTTGATGGCAGGTAATAAGGGAACAAACAAGGACGATGAGATCAAACTGTTTGGAAGCATTTTCGGGAACAACATTTTCAAATCAATTCTCTCACCACCCTTCCACTGAGTATCAAGCGAGCCGTCTCTGTCATACTAACCGTCACATACTTCCAAGTAATCACTGCTACAGTTAGGGTTGTACGGAAGATGTGATTCTTCAACAGCCATACGAATGGCTTCTGTCAATGATCCTGAATATATCCTCCAGGTAAGATGGTATGCCCTGAAAAGGAATTAAACTTTACATGTATTGCACACTATTCATCACTTACATATGTTACGTTTTTATTGCGTTTTTGTTGTAACGCCACATTCAGCAATATTCCTGCTATATGACGCCGTTCTCTCTGGAGTCTGGACCAGACAACTCCGTGATTGACGCCATGGGAATCATCATGTGATGCAAAAACATGCATCGACCCATTTACCGAGGCTTACCACCCGATCCCGCCATTTGAGGGTGGTTCGGCAGCCTAGTGGTTGAGGCGTTCGCTCGACACGCCGAAGACCTTGGTTCGATTCCCCACATAGGCACAATGTGTGAAGCCCATTTCTGGTGTCCCCTGCCGTGATATTTCTAAAAGCGGCGTGAAACTAAACTCATACACTCACTCCCGTCATTTGCCTCTGACACCGAGCTTAGGTTGCTGACAATCAGTTCTGACACGAACCTTTTAGGGCTGACTCCTTAGCATGATCTCTGTAGCTACTGTTACCTATATGTATACTATCATTTATGTAATTATAGTCTACACTGCATCGCTTCTAATGAAAGAACACAAATGACTAAACCATATATTTATATATATTATTGTGATACTTACATATGAAGATAGAGGGTTACCTACCCTCCATATAAACCCGGATACCCAGGAGACCATATACTGCGGATGGAACTGTCGGCAGTCAGATCAACGTGTTTACTGACTGCTCAATGAACAGAAAAAAATGAATCAATCAACACATAATCATTGAGGTACCGACAATATGTTATCGTGTAACACCTATACATATTCATACGTACATATATATATACACACATATATATATATGTGTGTGTGTGTGTATATATATTACATGGATGAGGCACGCCTTAAGTTACAACGCTAGAAAAAAAAAAGCTAGACTGACATTTGTGTTAGAGTTATATATGTAGTACGAAGGGGACATGTCCGTGCTCAGCTGCCCAGATGTACAAACTTTTGTCATGAATTATCATCACAGCCTGAAGGCTGGGAGTATCCCTGATTGTACTAGTTTGGACTAGTCCGGTATTGCGGTATATGGCCACTGGGTGAGTGAGTTTAGTTTTACGCCGCTTTTAGCAATATTCCGGCGGGGACACACATTTTCCCATGTGGGGAATCGAACCCGGGTCTTAGGCGTAACGAGCGAACGCCTCAAACACTAGACTACCCTATCGCTCCTATATGGCCAGTGAGATACTTATGGTTAACCAACGAGTGTGTGGCTAGTACAAGTTTGGTTAGGTTTGGTTGTTGTTTAAAGCCGTACTCAGCACTATTCCAGCTATATGGCGGCGGTCTGAAAAAACATCGAGTCTGGACCATACAATGCAGGGATCAAAGGCATGAGCATCGATCTACACAATTGGGATGCGATGACATGTGTCAACCAATTCAGTGATCCCGTTAGTCGCCTCTTACGACAAGTATGTACAATCGACTCTGCAGTTAGCAGTGATTTCTTATGGATGTGGAAAGGCTTTTGTCGCTTCTATTAGCTGAAGACCAATTCTCATCCGGACTTTCACGGGTAAAGTCACTGTCTGAGATGGCTTGATTTGCTTTGGCCCAAAGATCACGACAACAGGGATGCCCTTGCTTCCTGGACTACCACACAGGCCTACTATACTTCACGGGTGAGTACAAGTCTGGATGTATACCTAATTTATATTGCTCTCCCACTGGAATACTGTTTAACATGGATGCAGAGCTCGAGCACTCTGAACCCCGAGCCGACCAGCCCTTGTAAATGCCTCTCATGCAAGACACGAGGCAGGCTAATATCATATATCAGGTTTCCATTTCTGGCTAAAAACATGGAAGAACAGTGAGTTTTGCCTGACGCTCGACATTTAAGGGATTGACAAGTGTCTGAGACCCATCGGCTCGGAATCATTGTGAAGTGTCTGAGTTATGCATCCATGTCAAACAGTATCCCACGGTGTTCCAGTGGGATGTCATTATAAAGGACATTAACAGGTAAACAGACATACGTGCTACCACATCACAAATTATGAAGAAGGCGGTACGCTGAAAATTACTGACATAGATACATATTCCAGTCGCTACAGAAATTTTGAACAACCTTTGAACGTGACTCTCTGTCTCTCTCTCTGTCTCTCTCTCACTCTCTGCGTGCGTGCGCGCACACACATACACGAATTACGTAATTCTTAGAAATTACCTGCAAAATTACCACTGGTGTACATCATCTTGAACCCTCTCTAATAAAGTGAACATCATTGTAAGCTTAACCCTCATATATCTTGTTGAACTTGTTGCTGTGAAATTTGTCCTGACTGCGCAAGCTTCATTCAGCCGTTGACTGTATCGAGCGAATCCTAAAACGAAAATGGATTCAGTGGAATTGAAACTGAAATCGTTTGAACTGATCTCTAAAGGCAATTGGAAAAAAGAGAAATGCTTACTTAAACATGTGCCCGTTGATAACAACGTCAATTCATAAGAAGCGCTAGAATGAATGTTAGTGCACACTGCATACGCGGATGTTCAAAAGATTGTGAAAGTTGATTGTCTTGAAAGAACCCTGTCACTGTTCTTGAATCCAAAATAGTGTTGGGACAGGCGGGTTTTCGGCGTTTCCGAATAAGTATCCACACCGCGCTTGGGTTGCAAACTGGAAATGGGTCTTCCCAGCAGGCACATCAACGTCTAATAGACGTCTAAATGACGTCTACACAAGACGTTGAAAAGACATCTAAATATAGTTTAAAATGGAAGTCTAGAAGCCGTTGAAACTTAAACGTCATTTAGACGTCTAGAGATAGACGTCATCTAAACGTTGAAAAAGCGTATAAAAGACGTTGATTAGATGTCAATTACTAGCGTATAAATGATGTTGATTAGATGCCAATTACTGTATTGTTTTAATGGTGCACCAAAACACATTTTATTATTCTACTAAATAGAATACCTGTTGTCTACACAAGTTGCCATTTCAAACATGTACGGTCCTTATCCCACCGGCAGGGCTCCAGGTTATAAGCCTTCTTGAGGTCAATTTCATGCAGCTCAATGTTTTACCTTGAATTTCAGCAGTAAGTTCGAGCATGAAGTCAGAATTAAGCATGAACCTTGAGTTGAGCATGAAATTGAACTCATGAAGTTTATAAGCGCAAGTGCATTATCTCCATATAAATTGATAAAAGAAGACAAAATTTGTAAATGATGTAAACTCAAGTTTATTCATTTCATATTCCATATAAATACAAATTCGGGGCATCAGTATTCTTTTGATCTGCCACCCCCGCCACATCGTCCAGGGGCGTTCTTTAGGAATTTCCCCATCTCGAGGTAGACATCGTTTTCTGTAACTCTGTGCGAGTTTGTTATAGTCTCTGAAAAGATCAAATTGAATAAAGTAATTAAGTGAAATGATTCCTCATGGTTTTGAGAAATAATTCCATTTTACAGGATATTTGGGGTACAATAGGCATATACTGGTTTTGGGGACATGCAAACACATGCACAACTCATCTTCAATGTCAAACCTGCCTACATCCTTTACTTATAAAGTGTATTCATGGAAGTTTAGAAGTGTACAATCTTGTTTTATGAGAATAAACCAAGACTCATTCCTTAGTATCTGTAGACAGGTCTGACATTCATTAGTGAAAACAAAAAATGTTGGGTCGGTTAATGTATTATTTTAAAGTTGGGATGCCAGAGATGCATTCATATCCAAATATTTATCAAATGTTGTACACTCACTGATTTGTTTCGGTAGAATCATTCAGCAAAATAATGTCATGAAATACCTAATTTTCAATCAACGACAAACTATCTATTTTCACATCTAAACAAGACCATGCACCCTAGTGCTGTAGACAAAGGCGATCTACGTGACTGTTTGTAACTGAGACTTCATTAAACTTTATAGATTTACCGATAGAGGCCGTGGAACGTCCCCTTTACCGATGTTTCCCACAAACCATACCGCGATGATAGCGAGTCCGAGTATACTGCTAGCTTATTTTCAAAATTTCATGCGAGGACCAAGATGGCGCTTGATAAACATTTTACATAGAGTACCTTCGATATCCAAATCAAATGATAAGTCAATAGATTGCTACATGTGCTCATGGCTGCCATGCAAATTATGATCCAACTTCCATTCCAGGAAGAGCTTGCATAATATTAATGACGATCATCTACAGAACATGGCTGACATTACAAAAGCAAAACATCGGACCCTGCCCTATTCCATGTGACTTCGCAGCAGCTGAAGGACGGTTTCAGGGCAATTTCGTTCTCAAGAATTATAAAGTTCGAGATTAACAGTCACAAATTGTTACACTAGAATCGCACAAACAATATTCACGGACAAAAATTATTAAAGAATCTACCTTTCTTTCTTCTTCTATGTAGCGTTGATGTCGTGATGTCTTCAAGCTTGTTCAAATTGTGTGGTGCGAAAAACTGCGCATGCGCGAAATGTAGCGACATCTGGTGCAAGCCAAGGGGCATAATTCTAATCCAGAATGGCAACGACTCGGATCGATACCTCTTCGTTGAAATTGTAATTACTTTTCACACAGAAAATGTCAGAAATGCATTTGAATTAAAGACAGGAAAATATTTCTTACATGATCCGATTAACTATAAAAAATGTTGATTTTAAAAACACATGATACTATTTCTTACATGATCTGATAAACTATATAAATATATATTAAACATTTAAAAAATATAATTTTTAATTCACTTCAAACGCATACAAAGATCATTAATATGTTTTGAAGAGGCAAAAAATTAAATTGATTTTATTGGAGTTATTTCGTTTTAATTAATTACTTGTATTATTACAAACACCATGTCTAAGCTCGGATATCATTTTGTGGACTTAAATTTTCTGCACTACAACAAAACAATGAGAAAAGAATTGTTTCTGGAAGATATGCATAAATTATAATCAACAATCTTGAAAGTGATACTGGTCAAAACGTAAACATCGTTTAAACGTATAATCAACGTACAGGCTTAGACGTCGAAATGGATACGTTGAATCAACGTCTAACAGACGTTTTTAGACGTCTAAACCAGATCTAAACTTCATCTAGACGTCTAATAGACGTCTTGTGCCTGCTGGGTTACTTCTTCGTCATTCCTCCTGCAACGCGTTGACTGCAAGTGTCTGAAGACGTTGATGACGTTTACAGACTCATCGATCAAGTTTGTTCCATAGATGCACGATCGACTCCAGATCAGGCGACTTGAAGGCCAGGGAAGGACATTGACGTTTGTATCAGCAAAGATACGCACCTGTTACACGCGCTGTGTGAGGTCGTGCGTTGTCGTGTTGAAACAGCACCCTCTGGCGGTTAAAAGGTGGGAGGAGGTGAGGGTCGCAGGATTTGCACTGCCTTGAACCACCGTGATCTATCCGTGTAGGACATGACTCTTACTCCACCAAATCTGTCCATCTGTCGAACGTAGTTCGGCGCAAAACGTTCGTGTCGACCTCGATAGACAAGTCGTCTCCCACCCGCCATAGCAGGAGGAAACGCCATATTCATCGCTGAACCACACCCGTCGCAAGTTTCCCAGGTTCCATGTCTGTTACCCTGTTGCACCACTGGACACGTCGTTGTCGGTGTAGTCGTGTCAGGACAGGTCTAACTTTTTGCTCGATATGCTCAGAATTCCCACTTCTCTCAGACGATTTCTGATGGATGGTCGGACATTCTTCCAAGACCAGGCACGTGTCCTGCAGTGTCCGTTGCTGTAGCAACGACGATCTTGGGTCGAAATGAAGTGGTATATCGATGCCATAATTGAGAAATGGTGCTGTGGTGGACATTGGAGTGTCTTCAAAGAAGTGCAGACTGGGACTTCCCTGCTTCCAAACGTCCAATGCCGATACTTCGGTCAGTTATAGCATTCAAGCTTGGCATTTGAAATGTAATGTAATGAAATGATGAATTTGATTTGGCCTTTTATAATTGATGTCTGTACTCATGTTTCCGACATTGCGTGCACTGTGTGGAAAAGGTTTTTCTGCATGCACTTTTGATGTATCGTTCCATTTGTTATGACAAACGTTTACTAACACAATTGAGGATACGTTTGCTTGCAATACACAACAACCACGACATGCTTAACGAGATTCAAACAAAGGAATTGTCTGAATGACGATTGCTGTTAAAAATATATCGACGAACTGCTGAAAACGCCTGTGCGTTTCTTTTTGAAAAGTGTATTATTAACAATCACTAAATTACCCCAACTAAAGTTTTTCACAATTGTAGTGACCTACGTAAATACTTCCGATTTATCCGGGGTTGGACCTAACCGCATCATGATGATTTTGGTTCGTATCTCTGATAATGTCTCCAGATCTGTCAGCACCGCCATGCATCATTTCCAACATTCTTCCAACATCCGATTGTCAAGGCGTGACGTACTTCAATGTTGTTCAAAGCGGCTTTTATACACTATATAATAACATTTCAATTTATTCACCTACCGTCAAAGATATTCACATGATCGTATCTGCACCTGAACCCGTACTTCCCATCAAAAACAAGGACAACAGCTTGAATCCTCTCTCCTTCCTCAGCGGTGATATCAAATGTGCATCTGAGTTTTCCCTGAGCAAGTAATATGCTCGGACTGCGACATCTGAAACAATCATTTTTACGAATTGCTTTCTGAATATCATAAATCACTTGAGTATGAGCAGATTGTAACTCTGCAGTATTCCATCTCTATTTCTGTCAAATATTATTGTCCGAACCAGACAATCCAGTGATTGAAATCATGAGCACCCATGTCAGTTATTACGTCAGTTGCCTCTTCTGACAAGCTTTAGTATCGCCTGGTATAGATCAGTTTGAGGTCTGATAGCCGAGTGAGTGACTTAATTTAGCTTTACGCCGCTTTTAGCAATCTTCCAGCAATATCATGGCGGTGGAATACAGAAATGGGTTTCAAACATTGTGCCCATGTGGGGAAAAGAACCCGGGTTCTCGACGTGACGAGCGAACGAGTAACCACTAGGCTACACCACCGCCCCTGTGATAGTCGATGACGGTCATGGACGGTCAGCTTGTTGACAAAAGGATTAGACTGTAATATGCATTATATACATACTGTGTTAAAGGTATAGAGTAGCATGGTGATGTTAGGTATTTGGGTTGTGATCCAGCCGTTAACTTCCGGGGACCGCAAGAACCATCACTGGTAGATGTTTCTGCGTGGACTTTGACGACATGGAAAGAAAGTGTGTTTAGAAATATAATGACATATGTTGTTTGTTCCTTTATTTTGTTTTCTTTATTGTTTAACGTGGCACTCCGCAATTTGCGGTCTGTATATAGCCAGACGATCCAGTGATTAACATCATGTGCGTCGATCTGCGCATTTTGGATACGATGACATGTGAATTATCGTATATGAACATATTGTCTTAGACTTACACAAGTCTGTAATAATTATAGTTTAAATGATAATTTCAAAAAAACAATATAATCAGACTGAAGTCCTTATCCATCCTTATCTCTTTTAAGGATAGAATTACTACACATGCATGGGCTTATTACTCAGTACAGCCTTGGAGCAAGGCTAATTAACAACATTGTTGTATGGTGCCAGTGAAGAGACTTCGTTTTCTCTTCTCCAAGCAAGCGATATATACAACATGCCATGTACACTAAACTTACCGGTGGTTGAACACACAAATACCCAATGAAGAACCAGATATAATCCATGTCGCCATGTTGTTTCCATGATAGTAGAACGTTAGTGACGACGGTTGAGGGGACGGTATAATACTCTTCACTCCCCAACAGAAAATCGATGCCTGGGTCGGCGTGCCCTGGGTTCCATGTGTAAGGCAGTTGATCAAAAAGCCGGACAGGGACTGGCGTGGCGTGGCCAAAGGATGTTATTGGCTATTTACGCCATTATCGACAATCAAACCTACGTTTTCCTAATGCAACATACCAACGTGACAATAAGGAATAATCACAAATCCACAAACATACAGCAAAATGACGTTACTGGGCGACTCAGACGGGGAGCGGTCTTTGATCCTGGCTTAGCTGGGTTACGTGCAAAGAGGAATCCTTAAACGAAACAGGATTTGAAAGTACAAAGGCGTTTACGATAGTCATTCACATTACCATTTGTCCGGAGGAGCTCTCACATCTATACCCAAGCAAATACCACTGTAGAAGATATCCCTGGAGAAACATTGTGCGAATGTGTCCTCGCTCAGTTCATATTCACACGTTTCACAAGAGTTTCAATGATCATTTATTAAGACAAATTAAAAGGGGTGGGGTGTTTAGTTTTACGTCACACTCAGCAATATTCCAGCGATATGGCGGCGGTCTGTAAATGGTCGAATCTGGACAAGACAATCCAATAATCAATACCGTAGCCCGCCCCGATATTGCTGGGAGATTGCTTAAGCGGCGTAAAGCTAAACTCACTCACTAACTATTGTTACAACTAACTCACCGATATAACGAGCTCTTTTGTTTTGTCCTGTCCACTTGCTATGTATTATAGCTGAATTATGCTTATAACGAACTTAACTTAGTGGTCCCTTTTAGTTCGGGATAAACGTAGATAAATGTATATCATTTCCAAATTATTAATGAAGCGAACTGAGGACAATATTCCTTCCATATTACGACGAGAGACACATCAGGTTGGCTTCACAGGAAGACCCAGTTAGGGGAGTGGAAGCCGTGTTCTCGGTATGGCCATCTAACACTTTAACCCCAAGGCTATGCCCTTGTATTCAATGTCATAAGAGAACGTAACAATAGCCCCCAGAACATCCACTTATCTTATACGTGAAGGTCCGGGTTAGAATATTGGCCTTCAGTAACCCATACTTGTCGGAAGAGGCGACTAACGGGATCGGGTGGTAAGACTCGCTGACTTGGTTGACACATGTCATCGATTCCCAATTGCGCAGATCGATGCTCATGATGTTGATCACTGGATTGTCTGGTCCAGACTCGATTATTTACAGACCGCCGCCATATATCTGGAATATTGCTGAGTGCAACGTAAAACTAAACTCACTCACTCACTCCACTTATCTGCATATAGCCTGTTCTATTCCTTTCCCCTGACTCATTCCAAATGATCAATAATAGACACGGGACCCAGTGGTCTAAGTCATGCTGTGGAGTTACCTCCCTTAATTGTAATGCTAGTACTAGGATCGAATCCATATTCTCTTTTAATGTTTATATAATTCTAGGAGTAAGGCGTTGGACGTGATTATCGGGAATCTGACACGTGTGTGACGTGCTTTGCCTTTTGGCAGTTGGAATACATTCAGCAGATGTATGTACATGGGATAATTTTCAGAGCAGCAGAAACACTCTCTTATTCTTTCAGATATGTTCCTATGTCAATACCCGTGAAGACCTGGGTTAGAACTGATCTTCAATAACCCATATGCTTGTCGTGTGAGGCGACTAAAGGGGGGGTGGGGTGGGGGTGGGGTGGTCGGTTCTTTACAGACCGCCGCCATATGGATGTCATATTGCTGGAGTGCGGCATAAAATGACTTCACTCACTCCGATGGTCTACCAGATGGCTTGTGGTACTGACTACTAGAAATTATCTTGTTCGCGTCCGTCCCAAGGCACACAAGTTAACGTATTTAACAAAGATTTCAGTATTTCACCATTCTAGGTCCCCAGTAACCTTTGTTGGTCACAGGGAGGTGACCTCACTGATCCGGTGGTCAGGTTCGGTGACCTGGTTCACATACTGTCACCGTACACCGACCACGACGATCGTAATATGTCATAGCATCATAATATCAGTCAATAGCTCGTAATATTTCATAGCATCATAATATCAGTCAATAGATCGTAATACTGTGTCATAGCATCATGATATCAGTCACTAGATCGTAATACTGTCATAGCTTCATAATATCAGTCAATAGATCGTAATACTGTCATAGCATCATAATATCAGTCAATAGATCGTAATACTGTCATAGCTTCATAATATCAGTCAATAGATCGTAATACTGTCATAGCATCATACTATCAGTCAATAGATCGTATTTTGTCATAGCATCATAATATCAGTCACTAGATCGTAATATGCCACAGCATCATAATGTCAGTCACTAGATCGTAATATGCCACAGCATCATAATGTCAGTCACTAGATCGTAATATGCCACAGCATCATAATATCAGTCACTAGATCGTAATATGCCACAGCATCATAATATCAGTCACTAGATCGTGATATGTCACAGCACCATAATGTCAGTCACTAGATCGTAATATGCCACAGCATCATAATGTCAGTCAATAGATCGTAATATGTCATAGCGTCATAAGATCAGTCACTAGATCGTAATATGCCACAGCATCATAATGTCAGTCAATAGATCGTAATATTTCATAGCATCATAATATCAGTCACTAGATCGTAATATTTCATAGCATCATAAAATCAGTCACAATAGCGTAATATTTCATAGGATCATAATATCAATCACTAGATATTGTGATCCATTCTCGAGTATTTTGCAGACCACTGCCAGATAGCTGGAATATTTCTGATGTTGTGTGAAAAAACAAACATAGAAAACAAAACAATCAATAAATGTTGGTAGTTTACATTGCAAGACATTTTACATTGAGGTAACATACACGATCATTCTTATCAAATACTGAATCTTTTTAACAACAAATATAAGTTAAGAGTACTAATAAGATCATCATTTACTTACTGAATACATATAAAATAATCAGTTTCAATGCAGTGGTATTGTATGTAAATCTCATTTTGATCTTTTGTACAGTATTTCATTATTCAAACTCTGTGATAAGCTCAAGTTACATGCACACGCACACGCATCTCCTCTCTCTCTCTCTTTCAAACGACCGTTTATTAGTATCCTCCAAGTATGCTATCACCTTCACGTCTATATACAGTGGATTGCTTTAGAAAACAGTGTTGATATTAATTCTCCTATAACACATCCTGTCTTGTCGTATTGAAGGCATTCAACTGTACAGTTCCATGTATTAATCCCCATACGTCTATCAGACAGAATAACATCTTCGCTGCTACGTTTACATCTGCTGTCCAATAGCTCAGATCACTATTTCCCATAGCTCAGATCACTATTTCCCACTGTTGGGTCCAAACTCCAGACTTTCGTATGACGGGGGAGGCTGGCTTTGAGCAGCTGAGGTGTAGGGAGGTAATTCTGTTTCGCCCCCAGCTGGCATAGCCGCTGCTTGGTGTGGTGCCTGAAGTGCTGGGTTTGAAGACATCGTGGTGGCCACGAAAGCATGATCAGTGTGTGATGACCGATGGCGTCGTCTCTGGCGAATTTTGTAAACACTGAAGAGCATTACCAGAACTAGGACAACTGCAATGCATAACAAAAGTATGGTGGTTGTTTTCACGCTGTCTCCAGACTCTGCAAAATATATTAATTTAATACTTAATTTTGCGATTTTAATACATAGAATCAAAATAAGCAATCAATAGAAAATACAATAATTATAGTATATATTGTGGCTGTTAGGATACTTTAACCATAAATGAACACACAATGCCATTTACGAGTGATTTTACACATGTTATATTTGGGATTACACTTTGTCAGTAAAGTACCATCCGGGATTCGAACCCACCATGTTCTAGCATTACAATATTGTTGGGTTGAGTCCCATCCGGGATTCGAACCCACATCCTCAGAGTCAAGCACCTAGTCACAAGAAATCTCAGCCCATCAAATCAAAAAGCCCATTGCAGGATTCCAACTTTATCGTAAACATGAGTTTATAAACCATTGTCAAATATTGAGTATTCCAGGTATACACTACCAATTGTATATTCACCCTTACTCCTTTAAAACAATGTAATAATCATATTAATACACAAAGCTCTATACGGACTGTGTGGTCTTACCCTGGTGTGGTTTTAGCACCACAAAAAAGTTGATCATAAAAACTCCACGGGTCTCAACACTACTAGCATGGGATACAAGGAATATGTGCGATCCTGAGCTGTCTTTAGATGGCCTCTCGTCTCCGCACCACTTTGCCAAAGATATGCTTGACGAGTCATAGCCTTCAACAAACCAAACAGACCAGTGATTACACTTGTCCCAGTTGAAATGATGCAACGTAATGTTGCATCATTACATCGATCTGACCTGATGGCCAGAGACAAATGCCGCATTTCACAATATTAAAGTACTGACATAGAATTCTTCATCTTTAGACAAAGGAACATAGTTGACCTTGGAAGACGCTATTTTTTCCGTTAAGAAAAAGGCAGAGATACACAATTTCAAGTTATAAGTAGTGAATCTACCCATTTTACAAACGGATAGGTACACGCTCTTGTCACCTGAAGACCCGAGTCCGATTTCCCACATGGGTACAATGTGTGATCTAGGGCTGGGACGGTTCCAAATGTTCTACCCAGATACCTCACCCCCTATTACCCTACCCTACCCGGATACCCGTTATGTTAATTTCTGACATCAAATTTGCATGAAATGACAAAGTATTCTTAAGCTCGAAGGCTACAATTAGGAGTTTTTTAATACCTTAACCATGTATTGTAGACAAAAGGAATGACTGTAAATTATGTCCAAATCTTCAAAGACAACACAACCTTTTCATCATAAAAGAGTAACATATAACATTGTTTTAATCTATTAGTCACATGATCATAACGGGTTCGGGTATTGAGACGGGTGCCCTGGTCCAACTCCTTACCCACCCGTCCCGTGTATCAGGGTTACCCGTCCAATCCTAGTATGATCCCATTTATGTTGTGATATTGCTAAAAGCGGCTAAAAATGAAACAAAACTATATGATGAACATCATTTTCAAATGTATGCTTTAACCCACCTGCCCTTCTCATCTGCTTACATCAAACGAGCAAACCCTGTCATACTAGCCATACTACCATGCCGCACCTGTCATACTAGCCATACTACCATGCCGCACCTGTCATACTAGCCATACTACCATGCCGCACCTGTCATACTAACCAAACTATCATGCCGCACCTGTCATGCTAACCATACTACCATGCTGCACCTGTCATACTAACCAAACTATCATGCCGCACCTGTCATACTAACCATACTACCATGCTGCACCTGTCATACTAACCAAACTATCATTCCGCACCTGTCATTCTAACCATACTACCATGCCGCACCTGTCATACTAGCCATACTACCATGACGCACCTGTCATACTAACCAAACTATCATTTCGTACCTGCCATTCTAACCATACTACCATGCCGCACCTGTCATACTAGCCACTCTACCATGCTGCACCTGTCATACTAACCGAACTATCATGCCGCACCTGTCATACTAACCATACTACCATGCTGCACCTGTCATACTAACCATACTATCATGCCGCACCTGTCATACTAACCATACTATCATGCCGCACCTGTCATACTAGCCATACTACCCTGCATATGCCGCCCCTGGCATACTAACCATACTACCATGCTGCACCTGTCATACTAACCATCCTACCATGCCGCAACTGTCATACTAACCATACTATCATGCCGCCCCTGTCATACTAGGCATAATATCATGCCTCCCCTGTCATACTAGCCATACTACAATGCCGCCCCTGTCATACTAACCAAACTATCATGCCGCCCCTGGCATACTAACCATACTACCATGCCGCACCTGTCATACTAACCATACTATCATGCCGCCCCTGTCATACTAGGCATAATATCATGCCGCATCTGACATACTAACCATTCTACCATGCTGCACCTGTCATGCTAACCATACTACCATGCCGCCCCTGTCATACTAGGCATAATATCATGCCGCATCTGACATACTAACCATTCTACCATGCTGCACCTGTCATGCTAACCATACTACCATGCCGCCCGTATCATACTAATCCTACTATCATGCTGCCCCGTGATACTAACCATCATGTGCTTCCAAATAATCTGTGCCACATTTATGGTTGTACGGAAGATGTGATTCTTTAACAATCATTTGAAGGATTTTTCCCACTGAACCAGCTTCTATCCTCCAGGTAAGATGGTATTTACTGCAAGTGAATTAAATATAATATTACATGTACAATACATGGAGATCCGGGTTAGAATTGGTCTTCAGAAACCTATGCTTGTCGAAAGAGGCTCCCTAACTTGGTTGACACATGTCATCGGTTCCCCATGACGTAGATCGATGCTCATGATGTTGATCACTGGATTGGCTGGTCGACTATTTACAGACCGAAGCAATGTAGCTGGAATATTGCTAAGTCTAGCGTTAAACAACAAGCCAACTAAACAAGTAACATTACTCTAAATTGATATTTTATTTCTCATTGTTTAAGGCCACACTCATCAATATTCCAGCTATATGACGGCGCTGTGTTACCAATCGAGCAATCGAGACTGAACGAGATAATCAAGTGATTGACTCCATGAACATTTGTCGCCCGATTCCGTGCTCTTATGTCAAGCAATGGTTGCTGAAAATCAATTCTAACCTTCAATTCTAAGGTTACTGGGAGATGCGCCAGCATGATCATTGTAGCTACTGTTTCCTACATGCATATAATTTATGTAATTTTAGTCTGCACTGCAACACTTCTAATAAAATAACAAACGTAACTAAACCATACGTTTATTATAATAGTTAAACATTAATACAGAGAGTTACCTACCCTTCAAAATTACCTGGGTATCCAGGAGAAAATAATTGGATTAAATGTTCGCTAGTTACATCAAGGTGTCGTTGGACTGCGAAAAAAAAGAAAAATTAGATTAATAAACACGTAATTGCTGAGGCACAGTAACGATGCTGTTATGTATATCCATCACACGGATCAGGCGCACCTTAAGGTAACGAACTTAGGTAAGGTCAAACATGCAATGCGCGGGGAGCATGGCCGTCTTTATACCGGACAGATTACATATGGAGCATCATAGTCGACATGTGTAAAAGCGTAGCCGACATACACTCTTATGAAAAGAAACGTATAGGTGATTTTGAGAATATTGGTCTCATGTAGCTGCTGCAAAAGCAATGCAAACATACTATTTATTTTAAAACGTCGTCTCTCTGTGATTGTAAACAGTTCCAGAGCCAAAACGCGGCAATGTTAACCTTTTCCCTTGTTTTATAAGCGTTTGAAGAAATATTCGCCAAAACGTCACCAAGAAAACATACAAAGCATAATGCACGTGCAAGTAAGCTGGAAATGCATGCCATGTCGATCAGTATAAAAAGGCAAACGTTGTGTTTAATTTTGTCATTCGCTTTGGCTGGAATATAGGAAATCATGATCATCATCCAATCGAAACATCGCCATAGGCCGCTTTAAAGATGGGGAGTCGCAGTCTGCAGTTGTCCGACATTTCAACGTTCATCAGAGCACCATATGTCGCCTTTGGAATCGTTTCCTGCACACCAATTCCGCCCAAGAACGCCCGTGAAGCGTCCGTTGAAGAGTTACAACCCACGCACATCCGGTTTGCTCACTTGCGTCACCGTCTTGCCACAGCCGTGGAGACTGCACGACGCATCCCTGGTTTGTGAAGAATTTCCAAACAAACTGTCATGAATCGATTGCGTGAAGTGGGGATCCGACCATGAAGGCCAGTTGTTGTCCCTGTTTTGAGAGACTTCCATCGGCGCAATCGCTTGCGGTGGTGTCGTAGAGTCCGGAACTGGAACCTTAGAAACTGGAGGCGAGTCTGGTTAAGTGATGAATCACGATTTCTTCTTCTCCGGCGAGATGGAAGACATCGTGTTTACCATCGAAGAAATGAACGTTTTGGTTCAGAGGAATTTGACAGAAAATCGATACATCAACGAAGTCCTTGCAAGTCACATGCTTTCGATAACAGAAAGACAGCATGACAACGCTACTTCACATACAGCACGCGTCAGGGTCCGCTTCAATCCCAAATCTAAGGTCAATGTCTTGCCATGGCCTTCCCGATCACCAGATCTAAACCCGATGAACTCGATCGACGTGTACATAAACGTCAAAACACGCCTCAGATACTTCCACAACCGGCCATCGCATTGCAGGAAGAGTGGGGGAAAATTCCGCAAGAGCGACTTCGTCGACTTATCCATTCTGTGCTGCCAATTGTGGCCATACAAAGTATTGACTTTGACGCCATCTTGTGGACTCAAGAAAACAAAAAAACTTCAGTTAAGCCTGCTGTTGTGTTGGCGAACTCCCGCCGTGATGTTGCTGAACTATTGCTAAAAGCGGCGTAAAACCAAGCTCAGTCAGTCAGTCAGTGTTGCGAACTCTGTCTATAACGTGTGAATTTACACATTTTTGTAGTCATCTGCCGTCATCTGCAATATTACAGCCGACATGTACAAAATCACAGCCACCATGTGCAAAATCACAGCCGTCATGTGCAATATTACAGCCACCATGTGCAATATCACAACCGTCATGTGCAATATCATAGCCGACATGTGCAAAATCTCCTTAATAATATTATTATCAAAGCCCCTGGTATGGCTGCAAATGATTTTCATGGATACCGTACACAGACTCGGTAAACTGACTCGACCGACCAGTCTTTATCAGTTACCCGATACCACATACCTGTACCTTATTTTAAAAGAAAACATGTTACAAATTACATTGCCTGACGTCTAGATTAGGGAATTACCAGGGACAAGTCGGCTAGGAGTCTGTATAAAGTGTCTGAGCTATGTATCCATGTTATACAATACAAATATGGCATCCTTCCGGACTGTCACACACTAGCACGCAAGCACACACGCACACACGCACACACGCAAAGACATACATAGACCACTGAATTACTTACCTTCAAAATCACCACTGGTGTACGTTAACTCGAACCCTCTGCCTGATACAAAGAGGTTTGTTTTTTAACTCAATCCTCATATATCTCCCTGTACTAGTTATTGTGAGACTATGCTGAGTGAACTTGCAAAGTACTTCCAGTTGTGAGCTGAATGGGTCGATTCCTAAAACAAAGTTGGTTTCAAAGTAATTCAAACTGATGCTATTTGAACTGATCCTTGAAGCAATTTTGAAACTTACGAAATGCTAAAACATGTGCCCATTTAGATTTTAGGTAAGAAATAGTCTCCAACAAACTGTGTTTGTCCAACGTGTGATCAGGTGTAGGTGACTTGGTGCTATTTCACAGTCACCATGTGTAATATCATAGCCAGCATGTGTAATATCACAGGCACCATGTGCAATATCATAGCCAGCATGTGCAATATCACAGTCACCATGTGAAATATCACAGCCAGCATGTGCAATATCACAGCGAGCATGTGCAATATCACAGTCACCATGTGCAATATCACAGCGACCATGTGCAATATCACAGCCATCATATGCAATATCACAGCCGCCATGTGCTATTCCACAGCCACCATGTGTAATATCATAGCTAACATGTGTAATATCATAGCTGACATGTGCAATATCACAGCCACCATGTGCAATATCACAGCGACCATGTGTAATATCATAGCTAACATGTGTAATATCATAGCTATCATGTGCAATATCATAGCGACCATGTGTAATATCACAGCGATCATGTGTCATATCACAGCCACCATGTGCTATTTCACAGCGACCATGTGAAATATCATAGCTAACATGTGTAATTTCATAGCTAACATGTGTAATATCATAGCGACCATGTGTAATATCACAGCGATCATGTGTCATATCACAGCCACCATGTGCTATTTCACAGCGACCATGTGTAATATCATAGCTAACATGTGTTATCATAGCTAACATGTGCAATATCACAGCCACCATGTGCTATTTCACAGCGACCATGTGTAATATCATAGCTAACATGTGTAATATCATAGCTAACATGTGCAATATCATAGCTATCATGTGTAATATTATAGCGACCATGTGTAATATCACAGCGATCATGTGTCATGTCACAGCCACCATGTACTATTTCACAGCGACCATGTGTAATATCATAGCTAACATGTGTAATATCATAGCGACCATGTGTAATATCATAGCGACCATGTGTAATATCACAGCCACCATGTGCTATTTCACAGCGACCATGTGTAATATCATAGCTAACATGTGTAATATCACAGTCGGGTAAGAATTTATCTCCAACCACCTGTACTTGTGATATGTGTGGTCAGGTGCAGGTGTATCATTTCGGACACAATTTTCTGCTTCATTTAAGTTGCAGCAGCAATATATGAGAAATTCTACAATGAATGTTAGAGCACACGCGAAGTTTCAGATACCGTCACTGCTAATAGTCTTGCAAGAAGCCCGTCTCTGTTCTTGAATGCAAAATTGTGTAAATAAAGATAGGAATTCGGTGTTTCCGAATAGGCATCCACACCCCGTTGTGCTGATAAAAGTAGGAACAAGGTCAAACGGGTCTAAAATCGAAATATGGTCACTCTGGCATATGAATAGCCAACCGGTTGAGGAACGTGACCTGCAGAAACTTCAAGAACGATCGAGTCTACCATGCCCATGATGTATTGTAGGAATTTCCGCTCACTGCCATTCGGATGGGAAGTATAAGTATATGGGCCAGGGTTATATAGTTGGCATAGATTCATATTCCAGGTCTATTCTTGCTGGGGCAGCATTTGGCAGTCCTTACCTTCTGGTGCGGCGTTACGCAATATTCACTCACTCATTCAGTCCTTACCATCAGGTCTTTTTACTGTCCATCGTCGACAGGTTTTAATTTTCAAAATGTTTCTACTTTTTTTAGTATGGCTTGCTTTCGTCACGATATGGCTGCAATATTGTCGATGTGACGTTAAATATTAACTCACTCACTCCCTTACCATCAGCGCAATAGTTTGTTGATACTAACAATCAAACTACGCAAAATAACATTATTCACCGTTAACAATATGATCACAAATTATTCCCTTATATACTTTTCAGAGTCGTAATATCCAAATGTTGTTGCCATGCAACATAGTCCAACACCGTTGTATCGAAGTGACGTGACATTTTAAATACTTCGATTTACACGGGGTTCGACATAACCGCACCATAATGATCTTGGGTTCGTATCCCAGATTTGTCAGCAGCGAAGATATGAATCTTATCCAACATTCTTCCAACCTCCGACTGACAAGGCGTGACGTCCTGTAATAGTTCATACTCTATACGAACTGAATAACATGTAAATATATTACATACCGTCAAAGATCTTCACATAATCATCTTTACAGTTGGACAGATTTATAATGTTGTAATCAAGAAAGACAACTCGAACCCTCTCTCCCTCATTTGCTTTGATGTCCCATTTGCATCTGAGCTTTCTGTCATGAAAAAAGAACATGAAACATTAATAAGTACATTATAATGCAATAAACTCAATTATTACCCCGGATACCCCGAGGTTACTAGTAGAATGTTTTAGCTCACTGTGTACCAATCTTCTGCTAGGAGAACAGGGGCAATGTTGAGGTTCTTTTGATGCATATAGAAGCTGGTATTGAGACAAAATATCATGGATGTCAACTTCTTTCTTATGAGGCAATGTCGAACAAACTCATGTGTGTATCCCGTGTGCTTCGCTGAGGACAGGACTCAAGTCCTGGAAACTCTCAGGCGTCAACCTGCCATACACGGTCACCCAGCCAAGACTCTCCGCGCCCAACGTTGCTTACCTTTACCTGATTTGAGACCTGAGCTCTATGCACAAGAGCACACATCACCACCGGTTACATGAACAACACTCTGTTTTAAAGAATTGGTCCATGAACCGTACATGTCATATACTGTTGGTTCGATTGTTGTTTAACGCCGCACTCAAAATTATTCCAACAATATGGTGGCGAAACATTCCTAAAAACATGAGCATCGATCTGCGCTATTGGGATACCATAACATGTGTCAACCAAATCAGCGAGCCTGACCACCCGATCCCGTTAGTCGCCTCTTAGGACAAGTTTGGGGGCTGAAGACCAATTCTAACCCGAATTGTGAGTGTGTCATATACTGACTGAGCATGATTCGATTTTAATGATCGAGTTTGAGTTTGTCTTTGTTATGAACTCACATTGTTTTTGTTGGTCGTTTAACGCTGCGCTCATCACTATCCCAGCTATATGACAACGGTCTGCCAAGTAATCGAGTTTCGATCAGACAAGCCAATGATTGACCTCATGAGCGTCTATCTGCCAAATAGTGAGACGGGGACACGCATCAACGAGCATGCCATCAAGCTCATGCGTTGGTATAGACCAGTTGGGTATTCGATGACGGCAGTGGATTACGGCTTGTTGACAAAAGGGCTAGACTATAATATGCATAATACATACTGCTGTATAGCGACGGGGTAGCCTGGTGATTCTAGGTATCGGGTTTGTGATCCAGCCGTTAACTGCAGGGGTCCACAAACGCCAGGACTTGTTGTAGTTGTTTCTGGGTGAACTTTGTCAAAGAAAGAGAGTGTTTCTATAAATATCATCGTGTAACTCAGCGGATTTCCATCTATATGACGGTGGTGTGTCAGTTATGGATTGTAGACACGATAATCCAAGAATTACTGAGTGAGTGAGTTTAGTTTTACGCCGCTATTTGCAATATTCAAGCAATATGACGGCGGGGGGTACCAGAAATGGGCTTCACACATTGTACCCATTATGGGAAGTGAACTCGGGGTCTTCGCCGTGACGAGCCAACGTTTTAACTATGAAGGCTACCCTACTGCCCGCTTCAACTACTGAACTACTCTACCGCCTCTCAACATCGTGAATGTGAATCTACACATTTGGGTTCAGCGGTGTCGACATACTTCTCGCGGTTACATAAAACATGTGATGTACACTAAGCTTACCGGTGGTAGAACACAAAAATACCCCATGAAGAACCAGATATAATCCATGTCGCCATGTTGTTTCCATAATATTAGAATGTCACTGAAGACGGTTGAGGGGACGGTATAATACTCTTCACTCCCCAACAGGTAAGCGATGTCTGATGTCCTTGTACGTGACGCCTATCCGTACAGTCAACACGTATCTCTTAAGACTGTCCTGTTGAATACAGGCACACATAAAAGTGGCGAAATATACAGCCTGAGTCTCTTTTTAGAACAAGTAAACATCAGGGTGGATATCGTACTGTGACGCGGGGAAGTTCAGTCACACTGAACATACACTGAACAACAACATAATGGCTTGACCTATATACCTACGCTGGCATTTCTTCCTATTGAATATATCGTGTTGTGACTATAGGGCTGACCTGTGAAGAAGCGTTGCATTCAGAGGCAAGTGAGGTTTAAATACGTAAATGTCATTGTAACTCGATCGACTGGATTGTTAGATATGCAACCCGATCTTGATCACGATGTACATTGATGACTGAACTACACGTATATCCGTGAATAACCTGCCTGAATCTCTCTCTTCACAGTAATAGTGTAAATGGCTCACTGAACATTGTGAAATGTTGTTGATCATTATTGTATTCCTACCTAACCCCTACACAAAATGTATGGCTTTATTCATTGATTAGCACTTATTATATCCACCAACCTTTACTGACAAATTGATACGACATCCGAACACGTTCGTTATCGTTTAACAGGTACGGTCAAAGGGAGACAACTCTGGAAAAGTGATTCTCAGCTACCATACCTGGCACATGCGTGACGCCATTCTATCAAGGTTTCACGTCACACCCAAGCTGACGGTTCATAGAGCAACGTCCATTCACGTGTGTGTGTGTGTGTGTGTGTGTGTGTGTGTGTGTGTGAGAGAGAGAGCGAGAGAGCGAGAGAGAGAGAGAGAGAGAGAGAGAGAGAGAGAGAGAGAGAGAGAGAGAGAGAGAGAGAGAGAGAGTAAGACATGGTGGCAGACATACCTGAGAACAAGTTGTCCATTAGAACCATTTCGCAACGAGATCGTGGCCAGGGGTATAGCTACCGTTATATACAACCGGGCTTGCGCATGATTTTGAAAATGAGTTAGGCAAGCCCTCAATACTATCTAAATAGCTTTGCAACCTATCGGGCTTACACGGAAGAAATGGCTTGCTACTCGCCTGGTGGCATCCATTTTCTAGTTTCATCTCTCTCGATCGGGAAATAGATCATTTTAACAATGGCTTCAGAAGAAAGACCTACTATGGCCTTCACGTTTACGTCAAGATGGTGCGATTAAATTACATGTACCCGGAGCTTACACATTTTCAAGTTCCGGTCATCGAATGCTTCATTCTTGAAGCACTGGCATAAAACAAAGTAAAATGTGTCTCTGAACCCAGAGGTTTGTCGAAATCTTAAAGTACTTGATTTGTGACATTTGTGACATTAGGCCGCTCATACTTGTTTTTGTCTTACTCTCATGTCCCACCAGCCCTGAATTTCATTTTTACGTGAAGTAATAACGCGTTTTCTTACCTCTATTTTCCCCGTGGAAACGTATTTTCTGATGTGAAAAGAAGTAATGCTCTTACCTGTGTTCACTCATACAAAACAGGTCAACTGTTAATTTTTTCTATTTAATGTTTTCGCCCGCCCGCTTTCACGCTGGTTGAGGTTGAAGTGAGAACAAAGTATCTAAACATACAGCTGGTCTTATATGTTCAGATCCGGCTTATAATTCATCATCGCGAACCATGCTTGTCGTAAGACTAACGGGATCAGGTGGTCAGGCTCGCTGACTTGGTTGACACATGTAATTGTATCCCAGTTGCGTAGATCGATGCTGTTGATCACTGGATTATCTGGTCCAGACTCGATTATTTCCAGACCGCCGCCATATAGCTGGAATATTGCTGAGTGCGGCGTAACACTAAGCTCACTCACTCACACACTCTGGTGTCCAACGCCATGATATTGCTGGAATATTGCCAAAACTGGCGTAAAATACAAGTCACTCTGGTGAATGTGTAACGTTATGTTAAGCCAAAAGCTCAGCATAATTCTCATCAACTATACTTCCCATCAAAAGTTTAGACTCACTAGTGTAAATATAGCCACTTACTTAAGGCAACTGTTCTAAAATAGATTTTGCAAAACAGTCTCAAGTTTATTTATTCCGTATTTTGGGCCACATGACCCAAGTACAACTGTATTGTAAGGTAACAGTCGTTGTCACATGACCAAAATTATAAAATTAAGAACATCTTAAGCTAAATATTTTGAGCAAATATTATAGATGTAAAACGTAATATATTTAAATCAGGTGTGTTTTATATTTGTTGCAATGTTAATCTAGTTTTACAATATATTTTGATGAACAAATAGTATTCATTACGGAGCAGAAAATATCTATTACAGATAAAGATAACATGGTATGCATTTTCTACAACATTCATATCACAGTGCAAACAACTAGATTCTATATCAGAATTATCAAAGCAAAATATTCCATACTGTTTAAAGGTGCTGTTTACACATGAACAAATTCGGATTTTAAACAAATTCGTAACGTTGAAAAGATTATTGTAATGAGTTCAATAAATGATAACAGTCAGTGAAAATTGGCAAATTCTTAACAAAACTTTACACCAAAACGCACCTGTTCATATGACATTAAATCTTATCCTTCACATTCTTCTCATGGAACCAATACTTTACAAAATGTGTAATATGAAAATTGCCCATGAATATTTCCAGGTAATAAACGAAATCGATAACCCCATTCCCTTCCCCAACAATGATTATGAAGAGGTATTTATGTACATTTGGTTTCACGGTTTGTACCATGTTTGGAACTGGACCTGGATCCACCATGTGATGGACGAACGCTTTGATTATTATATAATACTATCACCTCCAAAGTGAATATAAATATGTAGATAATAATAGATGATAACAATGTGTCCATTTATATAGCGCCAAACTCCACACCAGGTATGCTCATAGCACTAACAATGAATAGCACGACACATTATTACCCTGGATAACTGCCCGTTAGGCACTTGAAGGTGACAGTCACACGACTTAACGAGTATCCCACTGGGTACCCATTCATTGCTGGGTGAACAGAGGTAATATTGAACAACTCACTTGGCTCGCTGTTGGACTAGTTGTAGCTGCCACAAGCATTCCTAATGTTCTTTGTCCTACTTAATATAAAGCTATATACATTTAGGATACTATGCATGAACCTGCATTTGAATAAAGTAAGAACGAACCAGTTGCAATCGGAACAAGTGTTCATATGGGTTAATGTTAATTTCAGTTAATACTCAAGACAATAAAAATAATTCTATTAAATACTCAACGGTCACCGAAACACAATATATAACAGATAACAACCTGTTGTGATTGTTTGTTGTTTAACGCCGCACTCAGCAACTTTCCAACCAGACGGCGGTCTGTAAGTAATCGAGTCCAGCGTTTAAGGTACAAAGCTATCTCAGTGCTAAGGTGACCGTAACTCTCACACCTTAGCATAGACTTAGCTTTGTCTTAGGTTATCTTGTACAACGACAACCTGGTTACACTATAGCGCACGTCATATTGAATTCTCGACATCAATCTTGAGTACTGACTCTGTGATATGTACTTCACTGTTTAACTGTATATCGTTGTCACATGGCTTGTACATTGTATCTGTGACAAGATCTGAACTTTCAACTGAATCGGTCACTGGTAACTTGCTTCACACATATTGAAAAACACAACTGTCAAGTGTTCATGCAAATCGTAGTCGATGGGCGGTCAGATTGACCTGCGTTTATCCAAAAGGCCACTGTCAGTTGTCTGTGATTTGTTGTTCAATTGCTTTTTATCAATGTTAAACAATATTAAAATTTAATGTATTAAATCAAAACTAGACTTTGTGATCCATACTCGATTATCCACATGCCACTGTCGTATGCCACTGATATTTCTGATTGTAACGTTAATCAACAAATGTAGTCAAAAATATAAATATTGGTAAATGTTGGTATTTGTACAATGCAAAGCCATTATGAGGGAACATATAAGATCATCCTCATGGAATACCGAGTGTATCTTGAAATCAGATCTTAGTTACGAGTAACAATAAGATCTTATTTCAATGACACTGTCATCGACACAAACGACCGTATTATAATAATAAGGTGCTAGACTGATTGGTGACCTGAGTTCTAATGCACACCATCATGATCATTCTACAAGAATGTTGTTACCTTTGCGTCTATATGCATGAGATTGCACTAGAAAACAGTTTTCGTAGGATTTCGTTTTCCCAGAACACAGTCTGTCATAACGAAAGACTTCAACGATACTGATACATCTTGTAAACGGACTACATCTTTGTTGTGGGGAATGTTTACACCTCGTGTCCAATGGTTCAGATCAATATTTTCCTCTGTTCTGGCAAAACAGACTATCGTATGACGGGGGAGCTTGGCTCACACAAGCTGCGGTGTATGAGGGCAATTCTGTTTCACCTTCAGCTCCCGTAGAAGGCATCACCGCCTCGTGATTAGGATCGTAATCGGATGCTAATGGCATAATCTCCCGGTGATTAGGATCGTAATCGGATGCTACTGGGTCTGAAGGCCTCGTGGTGGTCATTACAGCACAAGCAGTATTTGATGACCGATGGCGTCGTTTCTGGCGAAATTTCCAAGTACATATACTGATGAAGACTATGAGAACGACCACAACCACGATAGATATCAGAATTAAATTTGAGGGTCGAGTGGCGCTGTTTCCGTACTCTGCAAAAGCATAATGTACACATTTACGTTTTAACATATACAATCAAAATGGAATTAGTAAGCAATAGAATATACAAATTATATTGATGTTGTGTTGTGGTGGTGTGGTTAGGATACTTGAGTGAGTTAGTGAGTTTTATTTTACGCCGCAACCAGCAATATTCCAGCTATATAGCGGCGGTCTGTAAATACTCGAGTTTGGACAAGACAATCCTGTGACCAATAGCGTGAGCAACCAAGTCAGTGAGCCTGACCACCCGATCCCGTTAGTCGCCTCTTACAACAAGTATGGGTCAATACTAATCCCGGATCTTCAACGGGTCTTAGAATACTTGAACCATCATATAATATAGGACGACAAGATGGTTTACTTTTTCTCTAGAATTGTAGAACTCAATTGTAGGATTCCGAAATATATTTATGAATCATTATCTAATATGTAGTATTCCAGGTGAAAAGGGCAGCGTAGCATGCCGCAACCCTCACTGAATGAAAACAATGAAATAAACATTAATAATTGCATGAATAGCAATAGGAAATATGTGTTCTTACCTTCTTGTGGCTTGTGTGTGTTTTGGGGTTTCAATTCCACTATAATACTATATTTGATCACAAACACACCATGGTTCTTGGAACCACTAGCACGGAATTCTATAAACACGTGTGGTCCTGAGCTCTCTACAGATGGTCTCTCGTCTCCGCACCACTTTGCCAGAGATGTGCTCGACGAGTCATAGCCTGCAAAATATCAAATGGAAGAGTGGTCAGACTTGGAGCAGTTGACGGCTTACATGATGCAAGGTTATGTTGTATCATTACATCAGTATGCCTTCTTGGCCAGAGACAAATGTCGCAGTTCACAAGGTTCAAGTCCTGACTGGCCAAAGTCCACGTCTTCAGAGCAAGGAGAACGGTAACTTTTTAAGCAGTTTTATATATGAGCTAACCTGACCATCCGTTGTTGTACCAACTTCAATGAAATATATTTACATAAAATACTCCACGATACACAGAGATACTCGTACGTGAGAAAGGTTAATCGTAGTCTACACATATTTACATAACATTAGTGAGGGAGTTTAGTTTTACGCCGCTTTTAGCAATATTCCAGCAATATCATGGCGGGTTACACCAGGAATGGGCTTCAGAGATGTGGGGAATCGAACCCGGGTCTTCTGCGTGACGAGCGGACGCTTTAACCACTTAGCTACCCCACCGCCCCTATATGACTATATACATTTGCACCACAATATACTGATCATGTACTCTCTGTTTTTGATGGCAGGTAATAACGGAACCAACAAGGACGATGAGATCAAACTGTTTGGAAGCATTTTCGGGAACATCATTTTCAAATCAATTCACTCACCACCCTTCCACTGAGTATCAAGCGAGCTGTCATATACTTCCAAGTAATCACTGCTACAGTTAGGGTTGTACGGAAGATGTGATTCTTCAACAGCCATACGAATGGCTTCTGTCAATGATCCTGAATATATCCTCCAGGTAAGATGGTATGTCCTGAAAGGGAATTAAACATTACATGTATTGCACACTATTCATCACTTACATATGTTACGTTTTTATTGCGTTGTTGTTGTAACGCCACATTCAGCAATATTCCTGCTATATGACGCCGTTCTCTCTGGAGTCTGGACCAGGCAACTCCGTGATTGACGCCATGGGAATCATCATGTGATGCAAAAACATGCATCGACCCATTTACCGAAGCTTACCACCCGATCCCGCCATTTGAGGGTGGTTGGGTAGCCTAGTGGTTGAGGCGTTCGCTCGACACGCCGAAGACCTGGGTTCGATTCCCCACATTGGCACAATGTGTGAAGCCCATTTCTGGTGTCCCCTGCCGTGATATTGCTGGAATATTTTTAAAAGCGGCGTGAAACTAAACTCATACACTCACTCCCGTCATTTGCCTCTGACAACGAGCTTTGGTTGCTGACAATCAGTTCTGACACGAACCTTTTAGGGCTGACTCCTTAGCATGATCTCTGTAGCTACTGTTACCTATATGTATACTATCATTTATGTAATTATAGTCTACACTGCATCGCTTCTAATGAAAGAACACAAATGACTAAAATATATGTATATATGTTATTGTGATACTTACATATGAAGATAGAGAGTTACCTACCCTCCATATAAACCCGGATACCCAGGAGACCATATACTGCCGATGAAACTGTCGGCAGTCAGATCAACGTGTTTACTGACTGCTCAACGAACAGAAAAAATGAATCAATCAACACATAATCATTGAGATACAGACAATATGTTATCGTGTAACACCTATCCATATCCATATATATATGTGTATATACATACACACACACATACACACATATATATGTATGTGTGTGTGAATATATACGTATATATATGCATATATATATATTACATGGATGAGGCAGGCCTTAAGTTACAACGCACCAACGTAAGTAAAAAGCTAAACTGACATTTGTGTTAGAGTCATATATGTAGTACGTGGGACATGTCCATGCTCAGCTGCCGAGATGTGCAAAATTTTGTCATGAATTATCATCACAGCCTGAAGGCTGGGAGTATCGCTGATTGTATTAGTTCGGACTAGTCCGGTATTGCGGTACATGACCACTGGGTGAGTGAGTTTAGTTTTACGCCGCTTTTAGCAATATTTCAGCAGGGGACACACATATTTCCCATGTGTTCAACGGGGGACACACATATTTCCCATGTGTTCAGCGGGGGACACACATATTTCCCATGTGGGGAATCGAACCCGGGTCTTCGGCGTAACGAGCGAACGCCTCAAACACTAGGCTACCCCATCGCTCCTATATGGCCAGTGAGATACTTATGGTTAACCAACGATTGTGTGGCTAGTACAAGTTTGGTTAGGTTTGGTTGTTGTTTAAAGCCGTACACAGCAATATTCCAGCTATATGGCGGCGGTCTGAAAAACATCGAGTCTGGACCATACAATCTAGTAATCAAAGGCATGAGTATCGATCTACACAATTGGGATGCGATGACATGTGTCAACCAATTCAGTGATCCCGTTAGTCGCCTCTTACGACAAGTATGTACAATCGACTCTGCCTTTAGCAGTGATATCTTATGGATGTGGAAAGGCTTTTGTCACTTCTATTAGCTGAAGACCAATTCTCATCCGGATCTTCACGGGTAAAGTCACTGTCTGAGATGGCTCGATTTGCTTTGGCCCAAAGATCACGACAACAGGGATGCCCTTGTTTCCTGGACTACCATACAGGCCTACTATACTTCACGGGTGAGTACAAGTCCGGATGTATACCTGCTTTATGTTGCTCTCCCACTGGAATACTGTTTAACATGGATGCAGCGCTCGAACACTCTGAATCCCGAGCCGACCAGCCCTTGTAAATGCCTTTCATGCAAGACACGAGGCAGGCTAATATCATATATCAGGTTTCCATTTCTGGCTAAGAAACATGGAAGAACAGTGAGTTTTGCCTGACGCTCGACATTTAAGGGATTGACAAGGACCCATCGGCTCGGGATCATTGTGAAGTGTCTGAGTTGTGCATCCATGTCAAACAGTATCCCACGGTGTTCCAGTGGGATGTCATTATACAGGACATTAACAGGTAAACAGACATACGTGCTACCACGTAACAAATTATGAACAAGACAGTACACTGAAAATTACTGATATAGATACATATTCCAGTCGCTACAGATATTTTGAACAACTTTTGAACGTGACTCTCTGTCTTTCTCTCTGTCTGTCTCTCTCTCACTCTCTCTGCGCGCGCGCACACACACACACACACCAATTACGTAATTCTTAGAAATTACCTGCAAAATTACCACTGGTGTACATCATCTTGAACCCTCCGTGAAATAAAGTCATCATCATTGTTAGCTCAACCCTCATATATCTTGTTGAACTTGTTGTTGTGAAATGTGTCCTGACTGCGCAACGTTCATTCAGCTGTTGACTGTATCGAGCGAATCCTAATACGAAAATGGATTCAGTGGAATTGAAACTGATATCATTTGAACTGATCTCTAAAGGCAATTGGAAAAATGAGAAATGCTTGCTTAAACATGTGCCTGTTGATAACAACGTCAATTCATAAGAAGCGCTAGAATGAATGTTAGTGCACAGTGCATACGCGGATGTTCAGAATATTGTGAAAGTTGATTGTCTTGAAAGAACCCTGTCACCGTTCTTGAATCCAAAATAGTGTTGGAACAGGTGGGTTTTCGGCGTTTCAGAATAAGTATCCACCCCGCACTTGGGTTGCAAACTGGAAATGGGTCTCAAATCAAGATATTGTCACTCTAACACACAGGCATCCCGCAGAAACTTCGAGGCAAGTCAAAACATTGATGATGCACAGCAGTCTCGTTTCCTTCTGACTGGGTTCCGTCCTATTGCGCAACTTAGTACAATAACCAGTCTAGAAATTTGAGCTCAATTCATTTAACTGGCCAGGATACATAAACATGATTCAGTATTATTTGATACATGTAAGCACTTGTATATTGCAACACTACGCTTCTTCTAATCCTTGCAAACACGTCGTGCAGCGTGCTCTGTCGTACAGCGAGCTCTGACAAATTGAAACCTGGAAATCGTGGAAATCTCAAAACGAGGCTCTGCCGCTAGAAAAGTTTGGCGGTCTGGTACGGACTTGATATTATATCAATTACATTGTGCGTTACATAACTACTCTGAATAAGCGCGAAAAAACACATAACAAGTGTAACCAGTGAGCAAGATGCATTGTGAATCATTTTACGACCTCATCAAAGAGGGGCAGTCTGTGACGTCTTTGTTAAGGTCATGCTGCCTACACCTCGCCATAAAATAGAGAAATACGATGTTATTTAAGTGAAAAAAAAAGTACAATTTATTTGCAAATATCATTGTCTTATGAAACAAGGAATTGGAATGCAGTGTAACCATAATTGTTTGTGATGTCTATTTTCACTTTCACACGAGAACATTCGGAGCGGCTGAAAAGTAGGTCATTGTTTGAATAGGTTAATGAGACTCATGTTTCGGTTTGCGATCGAACCACTGTTCTAGTGACTATTGCTCTATTCTGGTTGTGACAGCATTTGACAGGCCTTTGTACCATCTGGGCGGTCATATGTAAAGACAAATGCACCTTGTTTTATGTGATACCATTGCCTTTGGAAGAACGTGTTATGTCATTTATCTATGAGTATTTTGTGCGATGCACAGTTTCTTTTTTGGGTTAGTATACCATCAGGGCGGTCATATGTAAACATGTAAACTCTTCAAAATAAAGATAAATAAATAAAACACAGGCTAAAATATGGAAACGTATATATTAAACGTATAAAGTGTACATAAGTCGACTGAGCTTGAACACAGAATATTGAAATTCGACAAGAGGTGAACTTATGTATTGTTGTTGTCAGCAGTAATTCAGTTTACTCACTGCACATGTGTGAACACGAGGGGGAGTTCATGTCAGTACCTGGTGACGACACCCCTTGCAGCCGTCACTGCTCGACACCGCCTTGGAAGGGATTACATAAGTCGACGGAATTTAGCTTGGGGAATTCTTCGTCATTCCTCCTGCAACGCGTTGACTTCAAGTGTCTGAAGACGTTGATGACGTTTACGGACTCATCGATCAAGTTCGATCCATAGATGCACCATCGACTCCAGATCAGGCGACTTGAAGGCCAGGGAAGGACATTGACGTTTGTATCAGCAAGATACGCACCTGTTACACGAGCTGTGTGAGGTCGTGCGTTGTCGTGTTGAAACAGCTCCCTCTGGCGGTTAAAAGGTGGGAGGAGGTGAGGTCGCAGGATTTGCACTGCCTTGAACCACCGTGATCTATCCGTGTAGGACATGACTCTTACTCCACCAAATCTGTCCATCTGTCGAACGTAGTTCGGCGCGAAACGTTCGTGTCGACCTCGATGGACAAGTCGTCTCCCATCCTGCCATAGCAGGAGGAAACGCCATATTCATCGCTGAACTACACCCGTCGCAACTTTCCCAGGTTCCATGTCTGTTACCCTGTTGCACCACTGGACACGTCGTTGTCGGTGTAGTCGTGTCAGGACAGGTCCAACTTTTGCTCGATATGCTCGAATTCCCACTTCTCTCAGACGATTTCTGATGGATGTCGGAAATTCTTCCAATACCAGACACCTGACCTGCAGTGTCCGTTGCTGTAGCAACGACGATCTTGGTCGAAATGAAGTGGTATATCGATGCCATAATTGAGAAATGGTGCTGTGGTGGACGTTGAAGTGTCTTGCAACTGCAGACTGGGACTTCCCTTCTTCTAAACGTCAAATGCCGATACTTCGGTCAGTTATAACATTCAATCTTGCCATTTGAAATGTAATTTAATGAAATGATGAATTTGATTTGGCCTTTTATAGTTGATGCCTGTACTCATGTTTCCGACATTGCACGTGCACTGCGTGGAAAACTTTCTCTGCATGCACTTTTTGATGTATCGTTTCCATTTTTTATGACAAACGTTTACTAACACAACTGAGGATACTTTTGCTTGCAATACACAACCACGACATGATTAACGAGATTCAAACAAAGAATTGTCTTAATGACGATTGCTGTTAAAATCTATCGATGAACTGCTGAAAACGCCTGTGCGTTTCTTTTTTTGAAGGGTGTATTACTAACAATCACTAAATTACCCCAACTAAAGTTATTCACAATTGTAGTGACCTTCGTAAATACTTCGATTTATCCGGGGTTCGACCTCACCGCATCATGATGATTTTGGTTCGTATCTCTGATAATGTCTCCAGGTCTGTCAGCACCGAAGCCATGCATCATTTCCAACATTCTTCCAACATCCGACTGTCAAAGCGTGACGTACTTCAATGTTGTTCAAAGCGGCTTTTATACACTATATAATAACATTTCAATTTATTCACCTACCGTCAAAGATATTCACATGATCGTATCTGCACCTGAGCCCGTACTTCCCATCAAAAACAAGGACAACAATTTGAATCCTCTCTCCTTCCTCAGCGGTGATATCAAATGTGCATCTGATTTTATCCAGAGCATATATTATGCTCGGACTGCGACATCTGAAACAATCATTTTCACGAATTGCTTTCTGAACATCATAAATTACTTGAGCATGAGCAGATTGTAGCTCTGCAGTATTCCATCTCTATGTCTGTCAAAAATTATTGTCCGAACCAGACAATCCAGTGATTGAAATCATGAGCACCCATGTCAGCTATTACGTCAGTTGCCTCTTCTGACAAGCTTTAGTATCGCCTGGTATAGATAAGTTTGAGGTCTGATAGCCGAGGGAGTGAGTGAATGTATCTTTACGCCGCTTTTAGCAATCTTCCAGCAATATCATGGCGATGGAATCCAGAAATGGGTTTCAAACATTGTGCCCATGTGGGGAAAAGAACCCGGGTTCTCGACGTGACGAGCGAACGAGTAACCACTAGGCTACACCATCGCCCCTTTGATAGTCGATGACGGTCATGGACGGTCAGGTTGTTGACAAAAGGATTAGACTGCAATATACATTATATACATACTGTTCTAAAGGTATAGAGTAGCATGGTGATGTTAGGTATTTGGGTTGTGATCCAGCCGTTAACTTCCGGGAACCGCAAGAACCATCATCGACTTTGACGACATGGAAAGAAAGCGTGTTTAGAAATATAATGGCATATGTTGTTTGTTCCTTTATTAGGGCTCCTTGCATCTAGGCAGGAGACCTATTGTAATCGTTTGGATTATTATTATTAAAAATATCATTATTATGTTTTACAGATTTAAGATAGTATGCAGCAGAGAGGGTTCGGGTGATCCTGGCACAGTCAGGCTGGTAAAGCTCATCATCAGCTCAGGGCCCTTGCCCCCTCTACACGCAGCCCAGACAGCGAATGGGACTTCTCCCAGGAAACGCTGCCTAGTCGAACCCACCAAGAACTTTCCGGAGAATATGAAGGCTCCCCAACACTGCAGCCTTCTGCATTACCCAGAGTGTCAGAAGGGCTGTACTCCCGGTGGAGAACCCGGGCACTCTCCTGATCTGCGCCAAGAGATCAGGAGGTACCAAACCAAGGGCACCGAGAACAATGGGGAGCCTGACGACAGTGTACTTGGGATGCAAGCGAGACATTTCAAAGGCGAGGTCTGCATATTTATCATGCTTTTCCTTAATCTTGCCAATCACATTGGTGTCAAAAGGGACAGAAAATTCAATGATATAAATAAATTCATTGGCTTTATCAAAAAGGACAAGATCAGGTTGTTAGCTGGAAATCATTATTATTTATTATTCGCCGATTTCTGTACCAAACATAACTCATGAACCAATGCTCCGAATCGCTTACAAAATATCACACAGATGCGCACGGAGGTATAGATATTCCCCTTAAAAATCTCTAGTCTCTTGGCCCAATAGCAAAGGGGGGATGATTCAAAATTAATTCCAAAATTTCAACGTTTGACAGCAAATATTTCAAGAACTAATTGTTCCAACACTTCCAAATTTCTTGTACAGATGCACAATCGAATTCCCAACAATTCTGCCTGGACGGGTCAAGTCGCTAAAACGTACCGTTTGACAGTTATTTTTGTTTTCAGTTTTTGGCCATGCTTTTCAGCAGTTTTCTGAGTAGTTTGCAAATTCTGCACAAAAAGTGCCAGTATGGTAGATGATGTCTTGGTTATTCCAGAACACTAATTGTTTTGACCGTAGACCCAAGAACAACTGAGATACAGCCTTTTAAAGAGGGAACTATTTCTTCTCCGGAACTTCTTAAAAGGGTACATGACCCCAGCGACCCCGGCTGAAGATCCGCTCGCCTGTCAAAACACGTGTTCTGGCTCCGTTTTGGACGATGATATCTAGCCCTCAGATACAATAGATAAAAATAAAGCCAAGGAGAC